CTAATCATAGGTTTGATTTATTCTATTAAAATCATCTTCAAGCTCCTTTAAGATCTCCTTGCTTTTGTTCCATAGATGTCTGTGCTTAAGCGTCTCCATTTAGCTCTTCTTGCTAAATCCCGAATCCCCACAAGTATATCCAAACAGAAGCGGAATTTTAGTCGACTCTCTTCCCGTTTTCTTTTCTTTTCTCTTTGAGGCTAGTCCTTTTGTTACCTTCCACTCAATGGTATAATCAGTCAAAGCAATATGTTCCGCTATCTCTAGACTTTCCGAATCAATGATGTGTAAAATCGCTGGTGTTCTAATTATCCTTCTCGTCTATCCAATCTACTTTTGTTGACTGTCCTTGCAACTTGTGAAACAAACTCAAGCATATTCCATTTTGCTGACTTTTTCATTATGTGTAGGTTATCTTGTGAAGAACGTGATCCTTTAGGATAGTAAAAATGTTCCATTTTATTTGCTGCGGCCGCAGCCTCAAAGCCAGTTCGCACGAAGGTAACCATATTAATCGTTTTCATTTTCCTCCCTTTTACAATCTTGTTACCTGCTCATTACCAAATGTATTTCTTGACGAATTGATCCCTTTTTATTTGCGTTTACAAGAAATATACAAATAAATTTATTCATTTCCTCTTTCAAAAATGTCTATTGGTTAATCTCATTACTATACTACCTATATTCTAATCTTCGTTTTATAATTGAGACAAAAAATGTAATATTATTCTTGCATGAAATTTATTTCTGAACAACCTTATCTTAATAGTCTCAGGGTATCGAATGGCCTTTTTATTCAAGACGAGTTACTGTCTGTTCATCTCAAGCCTTTATTGTATATACCCTTTTTTCAAAAATATTGTTTTTAGAAGATTAAAAGCTTGCTTAGTATTTATTCTCTATATGGATAGAGTGCGAAGTAAGCATTAAAGTATGGCATAATCAATGCTCGGCTCTGAGATAACGTTATGAAGTCTTTGTCCAACTTATGTAGAATTAACTGTCTAGGAGAGGGTTATGAGCCCAATGACAGATTAAATATATTTCGTTTACAAGTATGTATAACATATATGTAAGGTGTATTTACTCTATTTCGTATAAAGAAATGAAGGGCTTATAGTTGAATTTTTCATCAATGGCATGAGTAGACGACGTTTCGATTGAAGTTCACATAGCCCTGCTCCCTAAAGTGTGTTCTCATCCAAAGGGGACTGCATTTTCTCCTTTGCTTAGGTCTAATCAGCCCACCCAGTGAGACTCGAATCCCGGCGGTGCAGCGTATAATCTTGTCATGTTAACCAGGTATGGCCTATTCATATTATTCTGGGAAAAATTCAACTATTTTTTATTCAACACTAAGCGAAATAGAGTGAATATATCAGATATATATAATCTACTGAGAGTCCCAAAAGCCTATTTCCTACGAAAATTTTTTACTGCATTTTTATAATTTTAAATGTTACTTTACATTACATTGTTTAGGTTGTCGACTATGATCCCTTACATTTCATTCGCTGCCATGCGCGTGACAACGATCCCCTTGATTGCGAGACTAAGGTATGGCGTTGTGCATTCGAACCAAATCCTCTCAATCCGACCCAAGAAACCACCAATGTCGTTGCTACTTGCGGCGGGGAATGCGTTTGCCTTATTGATTGTCGTACTGGAAAGGTTATGAAGAGGTTCAAGCACCAGGGCGAGGTAACTATTTTTTCTTCATATCTGTTTGTTTTATGAGATTTTTTCACTAATTTCTTAGACAGGTCTTTGCTTTGAATTTTTCTTGTCTTTATCTCATTATATTTTGTTTGTCCGACCATTATGAACTTTTAACAATACTAGGCTTTGTTAAAAACCCATCTTATACTATCGATTTGTTTGAAAATTTTATTCTTTGATGGAGGGAAGGCAAGTTTCATTTAATACCCGAGAATGAGACATGTCGTTTTGTCTCCGTCGGGCGTGTTATGCATGATTAATAATGCGTTGTCACTTTAGCTGCCATTTATTTGCTTCACATTACAACAGGTCAAAT